TTTTTATAATTTAAAGAAGAAACCAATCCGATGTATAGTTGATATTTGAGGCTTAATACTATAGAAAAGCATTCAGTTGGTTCAGTTGGTGTTTTCAGCTTCTTTATTTTCATATAAAAATACGGCATGAAGTTGCATCAATAAACATCATGTTACTTGTCACTGGCATTAGAGCAGTTATTGCTAATAGAGTCAATAGTGTTTACTTTTATGTGGTTTACTCTTTAGCACAATGGTAACCACAAAAACGTCAACACAACAGAAGCTCTTTTAAATGTCAAACATAACAGCATTAAACACTAACAGGTCTTTCCCTTCACTAAACAAAAGACACAAAAAATAATACTTAATTTTAACATTTACTCTTCTTATCCAGTCCTATGCAAAGCATGCTGGGAACGAAAGGCTGCGCGTTCGGCTGTACGCATACGCTGACCCGCTTCAGACAGCTCACCAGTAGCGCTTCAACGCATGAAAACACACACAATTATGTCAAAATGCGCGGTTTTGGGCGAGTTACCTTGTAAACGTAGTCTTAAATGAGTTATAAAGTCTTAAATGACCGTAAAGAATTGGGAGAAAATCGGATGCGTCACATCCGCGTCATACGCATCAGGTTTTAAAGAGACAGTGCTGATTTTAAAGTGAAACCTGCTGAAGTCTGTCATTGATGTAAATCAAAGAACAAAAGAAAAAGAGAAATCCTTGGACTGTTCTAGTCGCTGATTAACTTTTATAGCTTGAATAAAGATTAATATGTATAGTTTATGCATATATAATATAGTTTATGTGAAGATTGTTTTAAAATCACTTAAATTAAAAGTTGTTTATATTTCAGAGCCTATTAAAATGTTCAAAAATAATGGCTTTCAATTATACTGTAATGTTGAATGGATAATTAATAGGTAAAATTGAGGGGAAAATGCACCAGCAGGACAAATTAAAAACATTGTAAATATATTTAGTTATTGTAGTAGTAATAACTGCCTGTTTTTGCAAAAATAGTTTCATGGCCGGTAAAAAAAAAAACTTTTGGCAGGTAAATTTTATCATGTCACCGACCATTGGCAGGTTTGGCAAAAAGTTAGTTTTAGGCCCTGCTTGAGTTGTTTAAAGTTGAGTGGATTCTGACTGACTGTTAATATTTGTATGGTTCAATATGGTTATTCATATGGTATCTTTATAGTTGTTGTGTAGACTAATCTTCACGCCTATCTGCATAGGATTAGAATAAATATTAAGGCTTTACAGTTACAGTTATCATTCTTGGTGTGAATTATCGTTATTGATGTGAATGGGCCCATAATCATGTAAAAAAGAGCTTGCAAAAAGCTGGAAAATATATTACTAAGTTGGATAAAAAGCAGCAGAGTAAAATAGATTACAACAAAACTTTCCTTTGTCAGAAAAGGCTGTGGAACAATGATAGATGAGCATTTCTCCATTTACTGTTAATCTTAATTTAAAAAAAAAAACTACATAAGATACTTAGTACGATATACACAGTTTCTGAATCAGGGTTGACTCTGAAAGTTTCCATTCAGTGTCTAGTTCGTTCCAATCCTGATTTATAATACTGTACGCTGGTTCCCAAACGCCCTGCACTGCTGATCCGGTGTTGAATCTTGAGAAGGAATGTGACCTCTTTTGTCTTTGGCTTGCACAGAGGACAAGTCCACTTAGCTCAATTAGGCCTTCCCTGTCATTTATGGAGCTGATGCACTGCAACAAAACTGGCAGGAAATCTGAAATGACTGATAATGACCCAGACAGGTCAAACAACAGTTTACCAGTGATTATGTGGGTATAGAAGTGGAAAACGCTCAACATCCCGATGCCAAAATAATCTCACAAGGTACACAAAGCAATGTTCAAGGACTCTCAAAATGATTGATACCTTTATAATCCTGACAGAGTCACAGCTCTTTAATATTTCAGAACGATAAAACATGAGGATCAGTCCTGTTCGACAAAGACACCATCTATATGCAAATTACCCGACTCTCAAAAACAACAGCACTCTAAGCCTTGACAAAACAGGGACTTTCAGTTATTTCTTAACATCAGCTGTTATTTCCCAACAGATTCCTGCATGAGCAGAGTGATAAAGCGAGAATTGTTTGCTGGTATTTGGGTTTGTCTGTGCAGGAGGAGCACCGAGACTGGCTTCTCAGGAAAGAGCCACGGCTGTTACCCAGCGGCTCAGTCGGACTGAGATTACAACAGACCTGTCAGCTCTATCAGAAAGAGAAGTGCTTTCTGTTGGAGAGATAACTCCAACACCGATCTGTACAAAACTCTTCTGTCTCACCTATCTCTGTTGCTCATTACTGTTCATATCTGGGTGGGAAGCACTTCCTGTTTTTATCTTACAAATAAGCACAGGCCATCCACCGCTCTGTTCTGACTGTTAGACACAAGCACAAACACACTAGGGATGGGTCAATTAGTCAGTTACTGAGGTCTACAAGTAACGTTTTCCCCCTAACTAAATAAAAAGTACATATGCTGATTATAATTAAATAAACTAAATTTGCTATACACAACTATATATTTTAAAATATGTTTCTATGATTGTATGACTATCTCTTGCATTAAATCTCAGATGGTTTTTCTGCATCTCACGCTATGTGCATTCATTTTAAATCGACACGTCATTATAAAACACAGAGTTAAAAAGTAACTAAAATAAAATTTAAAAAAGCATGACCCCTGCTTTGTTACATTGTTTTTCAACAACATGCATCCTGTGTGAACACACCCGAAGAAATGTGTCTGATTGGCGTTTGGTGGATATACCCCAAGTCTAATTATATATATATTTTTTTTAAACAAATAGTTGACTAGATGTTCAGACAACCTACTAACTAGTCAATTATGAAATTTTACGAATGACGCTTTCAGCTTTATAAATAGCACTGTGTGTTTCAGCTCAAAAAGGAAACCCCTAGGCTTTCTTGGTGTCAGAGGGGTTAATTCCTTATAAAAAGAGTGTGGTGGTAATTCTCAGAATTGCTCATGTGCTGAGGTTTTAGATGTGTGAAGGACAGCACAGGAAACGCTGGGTGTTTTTGAAGAACTAGGCCCCCGTTCATCTGTTCTACCTTAGCTCTTTGTTTCTTGACTCTCTGCTGAGGGACTTGAGGTTTCTTGTAATTGAATGCCCAACAGAGAATCACTTTCTATGATGAGATCAATGTTTTCTCCGAGGTGACAGAAATAGTGTAGGTTCATGACAGCACCACTGTGTATGGTGATTTACCGGAGACTGAAACTTAGGAAAAAGAACAAGCTCCATTTTGAAGATAACTTTTAAAGGTGAAGGGACTGCTCACATCCTCAATATTTTTCTCTCATCCTACAAAGAAACAAAACAAAAAAAAAGGATATTATAGTCATAAGCAGATTTCACTCAGTTGTTTGCACAGGGTTCATGTTTATGAGCTTAAGACAAAATAAAATCTATGGTAATGGTAAATATTCAAAAAATGAATTAATAAAGATGAAGAGTTATCCCCTTATTTTTCTACTATTTGTTATGAAGAACATCAAGCTGGAAAGATGATATGAACTCACTGATCTCACAGAGGCAGCGGATGTTGCACAGTGATCTCACACAGGAAATACAACCTGTCAACTACTAGCATAGTTTCTAACCTGCCATTTAAAGCCCCACAACAATTTCATTTCATTTTCTTCTCCGTCATAATTTTAATACCAAAACCCTCCTGGACACCAGCTTCTAGTGCAAAGCAACCGGCCAAAGGTCTCTCAAGAATCAAGCTTTATTAGTTTGATTAAAAAAAAAAATAAAAAAAATTGTAGTAAACTAATTTAAAAGCTACACAATATTTTATGCGGTCTTGACACAATCTTCTTAGTTGGTTTTTACACTTTCCTAAACTTCCTTACACTTTTCTAAATCTGCTTTGTGATCAGGTTTACAGTATCTGAGTCTACTTTCAATCCAAAACAAGGCTATGATTATCTTTAATGCCCTGCACAAGAGGTCAAGTTAAAGGTTAAATTAACCTTGATAAAGATAATAATCAGCCTTTCATAGATGATAACCTTATTCATTAAACCGGTATATGATAAACAAAGAAAAGCCACTACCGTTTATTCTTTTATTGTAGTGTAGAAAGATAAGCAGTTTCTGTAAATATTAACATGTATGCTATAGCTTTCATTCCTTTCCATGAAAGATAAAAAAAAACACTGTAAAGAAATGACAAATGTCCATTGTGGGTAATATGAAAAAACAAAACAAAAAACAGACGATATTGGAAAACGATAAAAAAAAAAAAAAGATTAGAAAAACAAATTCTTTCACTGTGCTTCTACAAAATTTCCAGTCACCAGATAAAACCATGATTAAAACCACTGTTTATGTGTATGTGTATACACACAAAGACCATAACAGATCACATTTGAGATGATCGAAATAACTTTATATCCAAGGTGTGACTAGAAAACAAACTTTAACAAGCATCATTTGCCATTTTAAAGCTGTTTGTGTACAATGATCAGATTTCCTCTTGTCCATTTATAGGCCATAAAGCATCACAGAACACACAGACGGAGAAAGAGCATGTGACACAGAGTCTTATGTGATTAATAATATATTCTGAGAAGTGCTTGGCGTAAATCTGCTCAGTCTAAAAGTCAAGAACAGGAAGGTACAAGAACAAGTCACCCATTAATGTATATAATAATCCAACAAACCTTGTAATCTTTTCAAGAAACTTCCACCACAATATCAATTTCAGGCTTGCTTGATCTGTGCAATGAAATCTTCAAATGAAATATGAAATCTCTGCAGGTTGTTTCACAGCAAGAGCAGAAGAGGATAAAGAAACAGCTGCCTTGGGTTTACAGCGTTTTGGCGGGTTACTATATGAGTGTATGTGCAATGCACTTAAATGAACTCGAAAATAAACATACACGCACAACACACAGGTAGCAGACTAGTGGGGCAGGCAAAAATAAACACTAATTCCTGTGAGAACATGAAATCAGAGCCAGACCAGAATACTGGCAACCTTCTGGATACCAAACGCACACAGCCAAACTACGCCTGGCACAGCCAACTAGCCTGGATCCTGCCAAAGGGGTCTGGCTCATGCCAGCACCAAAGCAGCTCTCACTTAGAGCGAGAATTGAATATGGGGCAGGCATGGGTGTCAGCAGAGCAGCAAAGATCACGGGCACGTCGAAGACGCCCACTGTAGACTCACCTCAGAGTGTGAAGAAAGCTCTAGAGAGGAGCAGATGAGTCAGTATGAGAGGTGTTATTCAGCACTCTGCTGCTCACTGGGCTTTTTCATGTGGGAGCAGACGAGAAATGCCTCTAATAAAAAGAGAAATCAGAGTGGATTCCCCACCGCTCAAGATAAACAATGCATATAAAGTAATTACACATATTATTAAGAAAAACACTGGTGCTTGCCCATGTAAAATTCACCATTATGTAGTGCTTACTTGTTGGTAGGGATATAGTACATAAAATATAAAAAGAAATATAACATTTATTGAAAAGAAAGAAAAAGAAAGAAAAAGTCGTCCAATATAAGTGGCAAACAGCTGATATGACAAAAAGGGTATGGGATGTTTTGCCTGTGATATCATAACCAATCAAATCTTGCCCTTTTAAAAATTCACCATTATGCGGTGTTACTTTCTGATATTAAAATTGTGGCCAGTATTATATTCTTAAAAATAAAATAAAATAAAAATAAAAAAGTGGATTCCCCACCGCTCAAGATAAACAATGCATATAAAGTAATTACACATATTATTAAGAAAAACACTGGTGCTTGCCCATGTAAAATTCACCATTATGTAGTGCTTACTTGTTGGTAGGGATATAGTACATAAAATATAAAAAGAAATATAACATTTATTGAAAAGAAAGAAAAAGAAAGAAAAAGTCGTCCAATATAAGTGGCAAACAGCTGATATGACAAAAAGGGTATGGGATGTTTTGCCTGTGATATCATAACCAATCAAATCTTGCCCTTTTAAAAATTCACCATTATGCGGTGTTACTTTCTGATATTAAAATTGTGGCCAGTATTATATTCTTAAAAATAAAATAAAATAAAAATAAAAAAATAAAATAAAATACAAATTAAAATAAAATAAAACAAAATATAAAATATAAAATAAAATAACTGATACGCTAGAGCTTTTTACTGGGGCATGAGCACCAGTGAAATACCGCTGTGCCCCAGTAAAATATTACTGATAAATCTGTGTGTCAATGGGATTGACGTATACCAACGTGAGAAAATATTTTTTGAAAATATTTTAGCAATCATGTTGTGTATTTTATATCAGCTGTTTAGACTCAAAATTAGTGATGCCAGATATGCAAATGAATCACTCTTTTAATCTAATCTGTCAAATGGGTTTGCAAGAAAGTCTGAAATTGTTTGCCATTCAGTTTGATTCATTCAGACAGTTCACTCACACACTGAATTGTTTGCAGCGGTTTCAACCACACACCACATTAGTAATGGGATATTTTATAAGACATAAAACAAAAAGAGCACTGAATGGGGTGGATATTTACCTACAATTTATATCCATTATTATTATATAGAATATTAAACTGTATCAAAATATGGGCATACTTTTTTGATATTAGAAATGGTACCTACATACTGGCCAAAATCAAAAAGGGTAGGAGATTTTTTTCCCCCGTTTTATCATAATCCAGATAAAAATTGTGATTTTGTTCCCTTGGAAAAGAACCAACACATCTCTCTCAACAATGAATTGTATTACGAATTCATGTCTGTAGCACAAACAGCGCTTGCTCAATAATGAAAAGACACTATCATTGCTTACAAAAACAGCATTAATTCACTCTCTGTAAAAATGGAGCCACAATGAGAAAAAGCAAACCAGTACAACCATAAAGTTTTATTGGTGTTATTAAAATGGATTCTTCAGCTCACTTATTAAGTGCTCAGGTTTCTTAATAAAAGAACTGTAGCTAAACAGCGCCGTGGGTTTGGAAACTACACCAGGGGAACCAGATTTTATTATCAACATTCAGCCGTATTTGATCAAATCGCTTCTCTCACAAACACAAAAAACCATCAGCCAACACATAGGCTGATATTATCGAATGACAGAAGGTTGTCAGCAGGTTTGTTTTAGATTAAAACAAATGTAATCATTACTGCATGCATGGCAGAACCATTATTTATGATTCTAGGTTAATAAAACAAGCAAAAACACAGCAAATGCATAATGGTTTTCAACCCACATATGGTATCTAATATCTAATCAGAATGACTCACTAACAGAACATGGTACAATAAAACCTAAGTGAATGGTGTTCAATTTTATTTTATTGTGTGCATCCTTTCTTGTTGACCTTTGAACCCAGTAATCCTTTCCTGACAACAGCATTTTGTCAGAGCAGACCAGCACAATAGGGCTTTACTCTGCTAGGAATCCAATAGTGTTAGCACAAACTCTCCCGAGAAAGATGGTACATACTGGTAAATCCACACGTTTTTATATGGGATCCAAAAAAAGTTGCTAGTGTATCACGGTCGTTAGACTCAGACATTGCCACTAAAGTGGCTGGGTTTAACACTTAAGAGTTACTAGGACAGCAGGAGGAGTATTTTTAGAGCCCTCATGCACTGAGACTCGCTGTTTGTTCCACAAAGGGCCTGGTTGGTTCCCATCGCATCCATAATGCCTCCATGGTGAAAGTTTGGCACATTATGTTGGATTGTGTGCAAATGAGGGGGGACGAGCGTAATCTCAACACTGCTGTTTGGAGACACATATTGACAATCGTGCTTTTATGCTACTATTAGCGTGTGTTTACAAATCTCCCAGGGTTCCTGTCCGTGTCATGTCTGATTTCAGCCGGCATTCTTTGAGGACGCTGCAATCCATCAGTACAGGGCATGTTCAGCCCATTATCAGTGCACTGATAAGATAATCAAACAAGTCACTCTCTACACAAACTGTTACTTTCTGTCTCTCAAACAAATGCACCAACATACTAGAAAGAAACCAAATAAGTGGCACAGATGTTTTTGAGCTTACGAAAACAACATACTGAGAGGTTGAAAGGTCTAATACCACAGTAAAAAACACTTCTATTGTGCTTTTTTCTAAAAAAGGGACGCCAACTATATTAGTAACATCCATACGTATCCAAAGTTCTGGCATTAAACTCTATATGGCGCAGTCCAATAGGTCAAACTCAATCTGACATAATGGCATCATCAGATGGCACAGCTGATTGGTTCTTTTTGTATCAGCAACCAATGAGCTTGTTGCTCAACATTCAAATACTCAAATGCAGTTGCAGCACGCTTCAGAAAC